AAAAAAAAAAAAAAAAAAAAAAAAAAGGGTGGCACTGAGGAAAAACACACAATACTACCTCCCCTGGGATGCCCTGGACATAAAACATACACATGTACTGAAGACACACAGACTCAGACATAGTAATTTATGTACTCTCTAACTCACACCGTTGTCCTTTAACCCATTCTTTGACCCACACGTTGAAACAGTAAAGACTCAGAAAGAAAAGTCCCCCTTAGGGCATGATTCACTCTCAGTCTCTGTACTTGACCTATTACAAGTTTTAAGTTATAAGAACAAAGTCAGTGCATGTGGGCATTCCAGTGATTCACTGTCTGATGGGACGAAGCAGACTGCATTTTATACCATCATTTGCCCCTTCTGCACAACATTAGTCCTCGAAGGGGGAATACCAATTTTATTTCTTTTTGTGCATTCATATTTAAGATGGCTTTAGAAAAATGTGCCGTCTTAAGCTGTACGCCAAGAAGAGGCTGTTCTGCTTCACTTTACAACATGATATTCAAGGATTTACTTGTTTGCAGAATAGTATGAACATGTATTTATTTATGTGAATATGGAAATGGTGAAGCATTGACAAGATTCGGTTTAGATTTAGAATTTTTTTACATTTTCTCTCCATGAACGTTTCCATTGTGTTCTTTAAGAAGCATTTGACTACATCTTTTGAAAAACATTCTAATATTTCAGAGTTTATTTCTAAAGATTTAATTTCCTTAACCTCACTGTTGCTCTGCCACTTCAGGACCTCCTCACTGCCTCCTTTAGATTGGCCACTGCCAAACCAGTTTGGACAGTATGAACTGAAGATAGAGGTACAACCCAAAGCCCACCATCGTGCGCATTATGAGACTGAAGGCAGCCGGGGAGCTATCAAAGCAGCATCTGGTGGCCATCCTATCGTCAAGGTAATGTATATGTTTTTATGAATATATTTGTTTCTACTGTAGGTTTGGGCCTCTTTTAGCCTAAACTTCACAAATCATTCCCAAATGTGAGCTTTGTGTTTTTTAGCTTGAATTTTTGCTTTGATATCTGGTCATCTTGTTCATGAATACTCATGTTATAACTAACAGTCTTTATCAGAAAAAGATCATCAGTCCACAGTGGATACAAGCATTAAATTATTGTAGTTGTCTTTCGAAAATAGAGGTGTAACAATGCATCGATCCACATCAAGATATTGATTAAATGATTATTGATTCAGTTACATCAGGGCAAAAATAAAAATATCATTTCAGAGTTAAGTTGAATGCATTTTTAGTTCAAGCCTGTGAAAATGACCCTGATGTTAACATATGTTTGAATATTTGAACGACAGTACCTAGTTAATTAATAATATGCAGGGTTTGACAAAGAGGACTGCCCGAGGCAGGTAAAACGTATACTTGGACAGGTGGATGTGTCCCGCTGCCTGCCTGGGCATGTAAATTACTTCTTTTGTTTTGGCAATTTAATTGAAAAATTCAGGAAAATAAATCAAATATAGCATTTTAAAGCACATAGACAGAGGATAAATCCTGACTTTCTCCTTCCCGCTGTAGTAAAGCTGTGTCGCACATAACTGAATTACTGTATTGTGTCACAGGGATTATTTCTCCTTCCCGCTGCACGTCACTCAGACTGAACCATTAACAATCGTAGTTTTTTTTTCCACACTAGTTTTCATAGGAAATACTTCTTTTTGTTTGTTTGATGCAGATGTAGATGTTCGCTCGCTCATAAGTCCACCTTGCTAATGTAATAGTTGGCTTCTGCTCTGAGAGCACATCGAATCATTCAGAAGGCAGAGGCTCACATGTACAGTATGGCAAGTCCTTTTAACATGTATTTGACTTCACCAAACTTACATTTCAGACATTTGAAAATGCGTTCTGACTAGACATATTATTTATTTAGGATATTTTTCATTATATTTTGACAAGGCAAAATACCTATTTGTGATACATCAAATGACATTCTGACTACTGGTTGTATAAATGACATCAGATTTTTAAGGAAGTTTCGTGGAGACTCCAGTAAATGACATAAATATTCAAGATATCTTAAATGTATCTTTAGATATGAGATAGGCTAGATAAGATTCAAATAATGCAAATTGCAGACCTTATCATGTTATGCAATTTTTATTTTTAAAAAGCTGCAAGGGGATCTTCTGGAGGCATGCATGCTACCATCAATGGGCTCCCTCTGACTGAGTTTCCATATAATAGGGCATTGGAGCTCCTTTTTTTAAGAAGCCCAGAAAAATAAAATGCTCTCAGTCAGGCTGCAAACTGTGCCATTAGATCAGGCCTACTACAGTACATTTGGAATTACAGTTGTACAGTGTGATTATAATGAATAAATGTTTTTTAAACTAACATTCAGTTTGAAATGGTCATAATTTAGTCCATGTTGGTCTTCAGTCGCGTCACTGGCATCGCGTCAACGTAGCATGTGATATTGCATGGTATCAATTACCAACTTATGAACTGAATTGAATCAAAATCGTATGGTGAAAGACTTTGTAATATCAAGAAACATCATATTGTCATCTAAGGAAATCGATATGATATTGTCATAATGGAGTTGTAATCGAAAATATAAATTATTTTTATGTGAAAAGGTGTAGTAAGAATCAATTAACTACATAAAAATATATTTAAATACCAAGAAGTCTTGGGACACAAATATCACATAGATCTGTTCCTACAGCAAGTCAGTCTACTGACATTTGCTTCGACAAGTTGAGGCCTTGTTTACACTATGGGTTTTTTGAGTGAAACCAAAACTTTTCAGCCATTCATGCACATCACAATGTTCTGTCTGAAACCGAAGGTTTCTGAATCCTGGTTTCAGAGTGGAGATTTTTGGGAGAATCCCCCACAGAGGTGTGAAATACTCAGCAGGATTGCAATTGCACATGCTTGCTACAGGTGGCTGCCGTGAAAGCTTTTTCTACAGAAACCACAGTTACAATAAATGGCAGCGAGCGAAGTGTTTTTTTGCACTACTCACTAGGGCTGTGTATTGGCAAGAATTTGGCGATACGATACATATCATGACAGAGGGGTCACGATACGATATATCACGATATATCCCGATATATTTCGATACTGTAAACAAGGCGATATATTGCTTGGTCCAAAAATTCTATTAAATAAAAACCTCTTACTGGTAAAGAAAAAAAATTCATTGTCTCAGAAAATTCTAATATTACACAGACATACTTTTTGATACATTTAGCTGTTTTCTGCTTTGTATGTGTTTTATTTTATTTGTTTCATATTTCATCCATGTTTTCAATTATTAGACTAAATTTGCCAATAAATAGTTTGAAAATATTTTTTGCAGCTTTTAGTTTTTAATATTAATTTACAATATGGTCATCAAACACTTAATAATAGTCTTTATGTTGTCATAACGTTCAGTAAACAGATGATATGAAGCTGCTGCACACAGAGTTTCTGGGATCAGCTGACCTGCATACAGAACGTGATTTGTATAACTGTGGGTCGAACAGCAGGGCAGGTCCTGAAGAAAACCAGTTAAGAAATTGAGAAGCTAAACCAGTTAAACCGTTTTAGAAGCGAACACAGATGGATAAAGTTTATGGACTTTGATGCCCGTGTCAGCTTTTAATAACAGTAGAGACGTCGTTACTCCTCGGTTGAGCTGCAGCCTGCAGATGAAGCAATATGTGTTTTTTTTATTTTTTGCGAAGCAACGTCTGCTGTTTGCCTCCTTTTTCATCTGTTAAGAGAGCGAGGAGGAAAAGTTCTGCACGGTGCAGCGCAGCTGCAGCGCTGCTGTCCCACCAGGTGAATGAAAGTCAGCAGACGTGAACACAGGTCAGTTTTCTACAATCAGAATAAGATGATCTGATTAAGTGTTTACATGACGCATTTTTATTCTGAACGGTTGTTTAATCCGATAACTTTTGTCGATGTAAACGTAGCTATTGAGAGCAACAGACAGAGTTTTATGTCACAGATGGTGCCGAGCTCGCTCGAGGTGATAGACGCATGCGCTGTATGCGTAACGTGAAAGCTGACTACAGTTGGAAAAAAGAGCGCACAAGACACTTAATTTGTCTTAAAATACAGACATTGTGACAAATAAGTAACTGTTTGTAACCTTACCTCAGCTTAGAAGGCAGAGGGTGTTGATCTTTTCCGCTCAGATTCAGCTAACGGAGCATGAAGCTAATGTTTACTTACAATGCTAATGCTCTCTTACTCTCTGGCGTTCAAGAGGTAGAGGAGCCGAATGGCTGGCTCACTGCTGCCAACTAGTGGTCAGAGGCTGAACTACAACATAAAAATGAACGGCTGGCAGGAAAGTTGACATTTTAAACCTTAATAAAAAATCGATACAGGGCTTTAGAATATCGATACAGTATCGGGGAAATGAAATATCGCGATATTTCAGTGTATCGATATTTTCTTACACCCCTACTACTCACCATTTTTTCAGCATGTAGGAGCAAAAACAACATCCATTGGTTTGTTTGTTTATTTTCCCTTTATAAGCATAGAAAAAACACTAATGTTTCCATAGATTTTTCTCATGTAAACACAGCCTGAGAAGGCAGGTAGGCAGACAATATCCCAGTTAACTAGTCTGTCATTTGATATAACTCGTGACAATGTAGACAAAAAGAGTGAGAAAAAAAACAAGCAGTAGAAGATTTCAGTCTAATGAATATTTTAAAATTCTAGTGACAAGCTTATTTTTACATGTGTGATTTAGCAAAAGCCTGATGCTAAATTGGTAATTACTGTTGCAGAACCTAACCAGGGACGGATTTAGATCAACAAGTTGGTCAGTAGTCCAGTCGGCCAATATGATGCCAACATACAACCCACTGACCACAATGTATTTTTATCAGCTGCCTCCATGAACGGTAGACATCATGTAATGCTTGTTTGTCTGTTTGCATGCATTTAGTCTATTCACAAAATGACCCTTTCGATAAATTTTAATGAAACTTGCTGAAAGTAAACATGTGCATTTACAACCATTTAATTTAGAAATCAGCCCAATTCAAAATGATTGCCACAGCTAATCAACTACAACAAATATCACTATAGCTCAATTTTAAAGATATTAAGCTAAAGATTGGTGTGTTGGAAGTAAGAGTCACACTGAGTGCCAACAAGTTAGGTAGGATCTTTGTTTAAGCTTTGACATACAAGGTAGTTGACGATATGCGTTCTCTGAAGAATCCTTTTTTTTCTCCCACCTGCAGTGATAACTATGGCTGTGTCCAAATTCAGAGGCCGGGTCCGCCGAAGGCCCGATTCATTGGCCACTTAGGTCACTGCGTCGTGCCGGAGGCTGTTCAAATTTGAAGACTCCTCTGATGCGGCCGACAAATGCATCCTTGTTTTGCCCCGATTTGATGGACGGGTCCGATGGATCCTTCTCGACCCACCCTATTCCATAATGCATTGCGAGTCGACCTGAGATTTTTTTTCTGCTAGTAATGGTGGACGAAATGAGAGAAAGGAGTACAGTTTTAAATAAAAACTGGCAGTATAAAAGTTAAAAGTTTCAAGTGGTTGTGTTGTTAATGCTTTTGTAATTTGGATAGACATATTTTTTAATGTTTTTGTCAGAAATCATACGAGTTGGTAGCGAAATAAGCATGCACACTTGGCAGATCCCTTAGTTCTTCAAATGATGCCTTTAGGTTAGTTTTGCTGTTTTTTAATACTAATAATGTTAATATATTGATATTTTATCAATTTTAATCTATTTTTTGTCACAGGACATGAGCCGTGGTAAGGACGGGAGGCTAAACCGTCCAAATTCACAGCCACTTTTCTCCGGGTAGGCTAGGTCCTTCTGAGGGATTTGGACACAGCTTATGACACCGTTTTTCAAATTGTGGACTTTGGAACACTTTTTCCCCCCTAAAAAC